TCCTGTCCGTAGAATTATATCTTTCTTCTTATATCATAAATAATTGAGGAGCTGTCGAAAATATACATTTTTAACTACTAACTAAATAATTTGTACATTTTCAATTTGATAAATTTCTTCAACATTTGAATTTTAAATGCTTATTAAAAAAAAAAATATGACTGAATTTTTAATAGTTTTCATCCGTAAAATTATCAGGAGTCTTGTATTACATTTTCAAGGTTTTTCACCAAACGAATACAATTTTATAGACATTTATAGAAAATGAAACAAAAAAATTGAAAATGTCTGTACACAACTCAAACCTAGTCAAAATATTTTGAAAATGTTTTCAAGTAGGTATATACTAAATGATAATAAACATTAGGTGTACCTATATTTTAAGTATTTACTGTTATTAGTTTTTGAATAACAACAAAATTTGTAGAAGAATTTGTTAATTTACGGATGAATATCCATTGTATAACTTCAAATATTCATAAAAATGTAATTCCTATAAAGTCTTTTTTTATGTCAAATTTAGGAAAACTTAAGGGGAATCTTGTATTACATTTTTAAAGATTAGATATACAGGGTGTCCCGTGAGGATTTACTCATTGCGATATCTCCTGAAATAATAGAAATATCGTAATTCTGTTTTCTTATTAAGACTCACAGAGGTAAGCACTACAAATAACTAATTTTTTATTTTTTTTTTATGTTTTGGTAAAAAAGTTAAAAAATTATTTTTTTAATTCATTATTTAAAAAAATATTGAAGATTGCCATTTTGTAGAGTTCATTTTTCTGAAAATATTGACGTTTCAACATTTTAATTTCATTAATTTCCTGATTTTTAATAATTTTTTTAATTAATAAGTAAAACGGCAAAAAACCGGTTTTTGTCCGGGCGGCGAGTCCCCCTCTACGGCTAATAGGTAAATCCTCACGGGACACTCTGTATAGTACCTCGAAGTTCAAGTTGTTTCGACGTTATCCTAAATGTTTAAGCACGAATTCACTATTTCTTCTCAATATTGATTTTTGATAATTTGCTGTAATTCAAAAATGATTAACCAGATATACTTTAAAATGTCACCAAATATTTAGATCAGTTTCTAATTTACTCTTTTTAAGTTATCATAGTCGTTTGAAATTTGAAAAATTGAAAAATTCAGCTTACTCACCTTGTCTAATCACCTCAAAACAAGCTCCGGTAGTTGACAAATAGTTAGCAAACAATATCAAATCTATTAACATAATAACGTAATCAATTCGCATAATGCTGCATCGTACGTGCGATTGAAGCTGGATAGCCAGGACTTCCAGTCCTTCAAGCAAGACCTTGTTTCACTGTCTAGACGTTGGATGTACGCACAACGACCGGTTGCGGTGGTTATCAATAGTACCTACCAATAGTATATCTAAGGGATGTGGCATTTCGCCATTTCAATGGAATAGCTTAAATTGATCGAAAAAGGAAGATGAAACGGGGATACCACCTATAAAGAACCATAAAAGCAATATATTTTTAGCGAGGTAAGGTATTGTCTTATAAATATCTTCCGATGGTACACAAAATAAGATGACAATTCACACTATTGAATTACTTTATTTATTAATTTAGTTTAAATTAAACAAACACACAAAATACGAGTCTCTATGAATCGCTCACAAACATATGCGGGCGGCGCTCGAGGACCCGCACTCCCTTTCTACCGCGGTACTGCATACTAATTGTCTACAAAGTTCTGCGTCAGCTCATTTGCTTCATTGGCCAATATATTATACGAATGTGATATTCCATCTATTATGTTTATTATTTGATTAGTTGGCGAATACAACAGTATGTCGGATAATGACTAGTCTGCCGTTGTAGTGCCCACATGTAACTCGACTGGATTCGCCGTCTCGGCCAAAAATACATCTCCAACTAAGTCGTCAGTGGTCAGTAACGCAAACGTGTCAATGATATGCCAACTGATGGAAAGATTGGAGACTTATGGAGATTTGCATCCGAGTACGTCTTCGCCATCGAACAGTTTTCCGATGACTGAAACGATTGGCCTGGAGCATATTAAGAAAAAATAGAAATTAGTATCTTCCTACTCGTAGAATATAATTTTTAAATCAAGTTAAATCCTGGTGGTGTTTTTAACTTTTTTTATAATTGATCTGTATTTATTATAATGCTAAACTATAATATTAATATAATAAACTAATAATTGGAATTATTCAAATTATTTTAAAATATTAAAAATATTAAATAATAATTAATAACAAATTAAAAATAATATAGTTAACTAAATAACAATAGTTGCTTTTATTTAAAATAATTACTATAACAACAAAACATTTAAAAATTATATTTTTAATATTATTATCGTGTTTTTAGTATTATTATACATATATACCTATACGTATATACAGTTCAACAATCCAAAATAACAAAAAAAAAAAATTAAAAATCAAGTTTTAACTTGGTTTAAAAATTATTTGTTATAAATACATTAATTTAATTGATGAAAGAATAAAACAAAATAAAATTATAAACTATAGTATGTTTTAGCTACTGACTATAATAAAAATGTAATTTATTGTTAATATTATACCACTTATACCAAGAGTTGTATACAACACACATTTCATTATTATACATTATTAATACGAACATAGTATAATATCCATATTAAGTGTAGAGGAATTTCAAATAATTAGTACAAATAACAATAAAACATTTAAAAATGATAATTTTCGCGTATAGCTGAGCAATGAGCATGCTATGTGATTGAAAAGATTCCTAATTACTACACAAATATTATATTGTCAAATGTCAATATTATTATAATACTTAATTGTAATTAAAATTCTACTTTAGGTACCTATCTTTATATTAGTTCTTAAAATAATTGAATAATTGAATTATAGACCTCATTATATTATATTGATCGGTTCATAATAAAATGATCATAATTTCGTACGTATTAGACACCTTATGACTGGTGGTCTTAATAATAAGCCGTAAAACTACTGTAGAGCAAAATTACCTTTTAAGAGCTTTTTGGTTCGGGTTAGGTAGTAATTTCTGTGTCGCCATCTTCCACAATCGAATCATGCTCCATGCCAATAATTTCAGTCATCGAAAACTGTTCGATGGCAAAGACGTACTCAGGTCCAAATCTCCATAAGTCTCCAATCTTTCCATCAGTTGGCATATCGCTGACACGATTGCGTTGCTGACTACTAATGATTTACTTGGAGATGTATTTTTTACTGAGGCGGCGACTCTAGTCGAGTTACATATGTGCACTACGATGGCAGGCGAGTTATCACCCGACATACCTATGAGAACGCTTAAAATATATTGCTTTTGTGGTTCTTTATGTGGTATCCCCATTCCCCACATATAATATTACGTATATTTGTTACTTATATCTTATGCTGCGTAAGTACTTTACCTCAAGTTGCAAATTTCAAAAGTTTTATCAATAAAATCTTTTAGAAATTGTAGTTATTTAGCTATAATAAACTACGTTATATTAACTTTGTTAAATTAATGTAGTGATTTTATAATATAATTTAAATTTAATATAATATACTTTACTTTGTTATGTAAGGTTGTAACGACTATACATTTTCGTTTAAGTAGGTAATTAACTATAATATTAGTCAAAAAATAATCATATATATTTTTACTTAAAAATCTGGTAGGTACATTTTTATTATTTTAAAACAATATAAGTATATATATAAAACAAGTAAATTAAAAACTTAAAATCAAGTTTTTTAATAATTTTAATAATAATGGTTGCAGGAACATTATATTATTATGGTTAAATACTCAAACCTACTCAATACTACATAATATTATTTAAGAAACCTATGTTATAATAATCATTGTTCATTATATTACTCAGTACCTATTGGCTATTAGTTTAGTTTGAGTTTGTTTGATGAACAAAAAGCAAAATCTTCTGACATTTCTCAACTTGACGAAGAATAATAATATAGTATTATTATTTTTAATTTAATCAATAAAATTATTTTTTTGGAAAAACGGGTATGGTCTTAGTGAAATATGATTTAATATATCAACGATCAACCAAACAATTACAATACAAGTATTAGAATTTACTCATTTTTCAAATAACTAAGCAGTAACCTATATTATGCATTTTTATGAATTAAAAATTACATAATTAATTATGATTTTGTTTTTATTATTTGTACGATGTTATGTATTTGTTAGTTAAATTATTTATCATTGGTTACTGCAACAATTCCGATGACCTATAAATAATCAGTAAGTAAGTACCTAATCATAATATTATTATTACAAATAAAAACTAAAAATCATCTGAGTTATTAATCAAATATATAAAATTATAAACCATAAATATAAAATATTTGTTGGAAATAGAACAAATATCCCGATCGATAAGATTCAATGCAATGTATGGTGCCAAGAGAATATTAACCTAGAGTGATTTAAAAATATTTACGTTTAATTGAATCTTTTCCAAATCGTCTTCAGATTTATTTATATAATCATTTATTTGCTTTTATATGTATAAAAAAAAATAGTAAAATAAATAAAAAGTATAAAAGTAGATCATTTAAATGTGTCTTGGCAATTTTGGAAGTTTCTTCTACATTTTACTAGTGTTTAAAATAATTCTTGTCACCAAAGTTCAGTATTTACTAGAATAACGATATTCATATTATATTCTGGATCCTTGAAAAAAACTGGTTTCTATTGTTTATTTGTAACTATTATTTCTGCGTCAAGGTTATCTAATATCATTTATTATTGGTTCATCATAAATGATAATACAGATTAAATATCGTTTCACCTAATAATATATATTAAATTAAAACGAGTAATTTAATTTTGATTACCTATTGTAGATATATCTCTAGATCTCCTTATTCTAACAGTGGATTAATAGTAGATTATTAAATATGGTAAGTACATAATTACTCAAACACAACATTAGTAAATGTTATTCTAATATAATATGAAAAAATCATGAGTTTATCGGGAAGTTAAATCATTAAGTTAACCTTTTAAAAACTGTTATATTTTATGGAACAATAATTTTAATTACGATTACACTGTAATGATTGAAATATTGAAAATGTATTGACTGCGATTATAATATGCTACGTTTTCGTAATAAAACACGAATACATTAAAGATTTCATTATTATTCTTAAAATAAAACTTTTTTTTTAACTTTATACAACTTGCCAGACAACATTAATCATGGAAATCCAAGCCAAACAAAAATATATTACTATTTTCACTTTTTTCCACCTATAATAATAATTGTCAACAATTAGATAAGACAAACCATTGGCGACTTTTAATCATGTATTCATGTAAACTGTTATAAGAATTAACTATTGGGTAATTTGTAAGACTGTCTGTAGTACAGTCGAGTCCTAATAATTCGAAAACATAATTAACTCAAATTTTTTTAATGTCCTTAAAAATTTCCATAGGTACCTACACACAATGATGATACAACTCAATGTTAAATAACTCGAATATTATGCAAATCGAATTAATTTCGAAATTTTAACGATCGAGACTCACATAATATACTTTTATAATCGTTATGTATTTTGAGATTGATTATTCATAATAAATTGAAGTACCTATATTAATTATACTGAGACCATTAGCAATTACAATGGTAGAAGCATAAGAGACATTTTTTACTTAATGTAGGGTAGCTGCCAGCTGGTAGGTACTGAATAGTGAATAATGTACTATATATAACTTGGAGTAAAAATATTTTTTGGTGGACAAAAAAGTGCAACAAGTGAATCCACAGTCGTGTGGATTATATACTTTTTTTAAAAGTTATTTTATATAAAAAAATAAAAACAATAATAACAGTTTGAAAGTTCTAAATATATATTTATAGTATAGGCTTAAGAAGGGTCGGTCTTAGATAAGATACGTCTTCGTGCAACGAATTAAATATCTTACAAATTGTTCTTAGGTTTAATGCAATTAATATTTAATTCCACGTTTTTGCTTTCAAATAGATATCTATCTAAATAAAAACTTCTTAAATCTAAAAAAAAAAAAACAATTGCAATCAATAAATTATGACATCGTAAGTATTTATTTTATGTCATACACTCATACGGCATACATAGTTATATTAATGAACTGATAAATATAGCCAAATCTATTTGTTTGATTAACAACTACGAATTAAATTAAGTAGGTACCTACCTATTTATCATATCTTATTATTGACTTATAGAATATTTAATTTGGCATTTACAAATGGTAAATCACATGAGAGATGAAGCAATGTAATTAAAAACAAAATTCGTTTTGGTAATCTGTATCTACTTTTTAATACCTACTTTCATTTTATGATAATATTGCAAATCGACAACCATTTCATTTGTAGAAATTTCCATTCATTTTTATTTTAGTACATAACTATAATTTCCCTACGGCATTATTGTTCTTCATCAATATACCTCCTATTTTGATAGGTCACACGATTTTCTATTTATAGTCTATAAAACAACCTGGCGAACAATAAATTGAAAAAAAATCACCCACTACTTGTTTTGAGGGTTTTAAAAGTAAAAATACACTTCTCGTTTTGCTCAGATTATAGAATAATATTATACACTATAAAATCTATGTCCGCTTTGAAACTACATATTATTTAAGTTACATCATATAATATAGAAAAATAAAGTAAATACTAAAACTTGTAAAACTCAGTTATTTAGAAGATTTATTTTCAGATTCAGAGATTATTTATAACTCATTAGCTAATAAAATGTTTAGTTTAATTTACAATAAGACAGATTAAATATTTACATAAACTTTTTCTTCAAAAATAAAAAAATTTACGATTATAATGACGTTTATCTTAGTTTTGCTCATTTCAAAATGTACCATATGTGCCGTATACTGCTGAAATTTATAGTTCTCGTTCAGGGAAATAATAATTTTTAGTGTTTTAACCGAAATACTTTAAGTACCTATACCATCTACCAACTATAATACCTAGTCATAAATCGCATATAAAAAACGCTATTTATAATTTATATACCTAATAGTTATAAGGTAAAATAATCACATAATTACCTAGTATACTTCGCTTGGATAGTTGGATTGTCGACAGGTAAGTTATTAAGTAGGTACCTACTTGATGTCTCGATTTATTTTGCATTGTGATTATAAATCTCTGTTGAATCGGAAATGTAGGTACTTGCAAGAAGAAAACTCTGAAATATAATTTACAGAAGGTACCTACCACCTACGTAAGTACCCATCATGTAAACAAGGTAAATGGTATACACAGTATATTTAAATATATTTAAAATACTATAGCCTATAGGCATAGGCTATAGGTACCTACTACCTATAAATTCACATATCTGGTCTGTAAATAAATAAAATAAAATATCTTATTAAAATAATCGTTGTATCAGGATTTGAAAACATTAATTTTATAGAAGACACGCTTTAATATTATGTTTATAGAGATAACTACATAAAAATGTTATTGGTTGGAAACTAAATTATTGAAAACGTCGTATATTTTACCTGCAGGAACAAGTGAAACCACAGTTGTATTGATTATTTATTTTTTTTTAATTAAAATATTTTAATTGTATACAAAATATGTAATAATATTATACAAATCAATATAATATAAAATACAAATTTAATATTTATTTTTAACATTTTTATTATTATATATAAATATAAAATCCACTTCACGTGGAAATTAATATGATCAGCGAATCCCGAAAGTACCACACTAATACTTATATACACACAGCAGTGTAAAAGTATAAACTCTTTCGAGTTATAGTATATAGGTACTTATATAAAAAAATCAAAAAACAATAATAATAATAACAACTTTGAAGTTCCGTCTGGTACCAAAGTATATATTATTTTAAGCCTTTCGAGCAGCACGCAGACTTAATAATATCAATTAACACGGTAACGAGCGGCAAAGGCGTATTATTATTATTATTATTATTATTATTATTTTCATGTACAGGTGACGACGTTTCAATGAAAAATGGCCTATGCCTATACAACAGCACATAACTTCGCGTGCGGCCGTGCGTCGATACGCGTCCGCCGTGTGAGATTATTAAGACAAGACGTGTCGTACCTTTCTATCTATGTGTTATATTATCTCGTGTTTTGGCATCAAACCGTGTTCGCCGTGTGTGTGTATCGTAATGGGCGCGAGTACGGGTACACACTAAGTTTGACCGAGGGCTGGGTTTAAAAATAATTTATAACGTTCTTGAAGTCACGTTGTCATCTTTCGTTTCTCGTCTGCGGTCGCTTTTTTGGCAGTTGAATAACAGCCGCTGCCGCCGTCGCACTGCGCACTCGACGTTGTGTGTCGCAGCCGCCAGTCGTGCACGGTGTCATTAATACGATTGTTTTCGTTCCGATTGTTTTGCGTTTTGTTGTAAATATGTTCTGATTTCGAATACGATGATAGTGCGCTGGTGTTTGTAAATTAACTCCAACGATGTCGTGTTACTGTCCGAATTGGATGAACGAGAGCCCGTTGCAAGTACCCATCAACCTCGATCATCAATCGGATCTACTTAAGGTCCGTAATAAAAATAGCACATACGTATTATAATTATAGAAGCGTCTCTGTGGTAGAGTAGGTAGTGATAACTGATAAGGTTTCGTAGTCCGCAGTAGTAGGAACCTACGTACGAATTTTTACTAATACACTCGAGATGAAGTCAAATTAATTATCTGAATCATGAAGATAAAAATAAATTGCCTGGTAAAAATATTTATTGAATCATAATAAATTTCAAAACAAAAAACAAATAGTAGATTTGGACGAAGCTGCCCCAAAAAACAAGCTTGTTAAAGGGAGCAGCTAATTAAAAAAAACAATTTTAAAAAAAACAATAGATATAAATATTAAACATAATTTAAAACAATACTAAACATACATGCAAAATTGTATCCTTATAAAATAATTAATACCTGTCATATTATAATAATTAAGAAGGCCGTAAAAGCAGTGAGTTTAATAAGAAATAAAATAAAAAATAAATATTATTAAACTGTGTATCGTAAGTACCAACCATTACCACACTATCGCTGCATAAGTAAGAATTTAAAATAATATCAATCCTAATAATGTTTTGGAAAATTGTGGAAAATGTTTTTTTTTTTTTTACAATGCTTTCGATTATCTTTAATTTGCATATTCAGGTCGTGAGTTTAAAAATACATCTAGACATTACGTGGACTTAATGACTACTAATAGTCGACAATATTGAGATCGAGATGGCTATTTCGGGAGAACGAGGAGCTACGAGCCACCACGCGCTCGTTAAATTATGTTTACTTGTACACCTATGCCAAACAATATTTTTTTGATTCGACGTATACGTAGTACGTACTCTGTGAATAAAGTATAAACACATCCTTCATCATCCACAGCAAAATATATTCTATATAATATGGTTTAGATGATTTAGCAATATAATTCATGATGCATAATAGTATTCGTTTTAGTTGAAATAAAATCGATCAAAATATGGAATTATAGATTTATGTATAGGTATTCTAATAAGTTTTACCGTGAACAATAATATTTCGGTAACGTAAATGTTTTGATAAATATTGAAATACCTAGGTAGTATCAGGTAATTTTACTTGTTTTAGTAGATAATTTAAGTTAGATACCAACTATTTTTATAAAACTATTCAAGAACAAACGCAAACACTTATAAAGTTTTTAAATAAAAATACTTACATAGGTATCTAAAAATATTTTTTTCAATTTACTATCACTTTTTTTTTACAATGCCTCAGATCTGTACTCTTTCGATAGGTAACAGTGTGGGCGACAGTAAACAAAATACAAATCTTGATACAAATTGTATGAATGTTCCGAAAAATATCGTAAACTTCTTCTATAATACCTAAGTACTTCCCTACTTGTATATAGGTACATTTGTAGAACGCCGTCTGCAATGTACACAAAACCAGTATCTCTTAGCCGTTAATTTGTAGTTTTCAATTGAAAAGGTCACAGTATAATATATAGGTATCTAATATTATTATAGGCGTCGATGATAATAATCAACAATGGTGTTTCTCTTTCGCTTTTACTTTAAATGTAAAATTAAAAAAATTCAATGATTTTACTTCTGACTATAAAAAATAATAATATTGATAATTTATTGAAACATAAACAATAAAATATTTAAATAAAAGTTAACAAATTTATCCAATGCAGTATTTAAAATACTTTCAAAATACTTTTTTAAAAGTACCTATTTAAATACATTTATTCAAAGTGTCTTTACAGTAACTATAACTCTATGTCTCTATCTCATAAAGCTCTGAATAAAAATATAAAGTAAATATAATATTTATACTATAATAACTAAAAAGCGGGTAAGTGGGTAACTCTCTCTTATACAGTATAGGTGTATGGTGTTAAATTTGAATTCAAATAATTCAATGATGTAATATCATTGCCGTATACCTACAACGATTCTGAGCGAAGACGGTCTGTCAGCCTATAGCCCCTAGGATATATTATACCTATTATATTTATACTGTTATTATTAATACGGCATTCGGTAAGTTGAATTAATATTATTTGTTTATTATCATATTAGTATAAAATAATATACTTTAGGAGTTTCATCTTTCAAGTACCTACGAATAATAAAACACAAAACTAAAATGAATCGTTCTTCTTCGTTAAAATATCTAATTTCATCCAAACTTGAACTTCAAATAACTAAAAAAAAAAAGAAAGGTGTACCTATATATACCCTTTTCGATTTATGTTTACAGGAACTACATACTTAGAATCGCTTAAAACCTTGTTTTAATTTTTTATCCTTAGCTACAACAATTTAACATTTTATACAATTTAAATTTGATACATTTTGTCGACATTTGAACTTTAAATGCTTATATAGAAAAATCTTGACTATGTATTTCTAATATTTTCAAACTGATATTGTAACAATGTGTGAGAAGATTTGTATTACTTATTCAAGCTTTTTGACCCAATAAATAACATTTTATTGACATTTATAGAAAAAAAAATAAAAAAATTGATAATGACCGTAAACAACTCAAAACTAACTTACGAAAATCACAAACAACAGCTTACGAGGAACTAGCTTATATTAAATTTTCATGTTTTTTGAACAATAAAAAAAATTGTATTGACATTCATTTTAAAAGAAGCTAGTAATAATTGATTATTGCATATAAATAGCTCAACATGAGTAAAAATATTTTGAAAATTGTATGATGCATAGAAAATGAAAATATAAATATTCAATGAAATTGTCATTAATTTTTTTTAGTTATTCCTGGCGTTTTTTAAAACTACAAGGAATTTCCGATTTTTACTTATCTTATGCACCAATTAGATTCACTTTCCCATCGGAAAAGATACTGAAGTTGAAAATCGAAGCATTATTGAAGCTGTACACTGACACAAAATAGAAAAAAACATCCAGTTTTGTAAAATCAATAAGAATCAGAATCTAAAATTGAACCATACCTACCGTTCCTATTCATAATTATTAATTGTAGTAATTTTTTTATTAAAGTATAAGAAAACGGATAAAAAAAACGTGTAGAAGAAGAACTAATAGAGGGATTCAACTAATTTACTAAAAACCTGGAATTAATACTTAATGAGTAAAAGAATCGAGTGGGTAGGACACGTCTGGAAGTCGACCTAGACAGTGCTGGATTGACAGGATCAATGACGATCTAAATAAGTGCTCACAGGGAATAACGATAGAGAACAGCATCGACAGAGTCAAATGGAAAAATTTAATAGACTAGTAGAGGCAGTGAAAGTCCTTTAAGGACTGCAAAAGCTGAAGAAGAAGAAGAATTTTATTTTATTAGATAATCAAATAATTTTTATTCAGTAATCAGTATCAAGCATCTATTTATCTAAATAGATGTATTTAATTTAATGTAATTATACCATATTAGGTATTATAACCTATAATGATAAAACATTTATAATAATTGTTACATATAGGTGCAGATATTTTTTTTTTAATAAAGTAAATAATTAAAACTTGACTCTTAGTTTCTCTAAAAATGTTCAATAATAATATTATATGACGTAGGTATGTAATATGTATATATTACTATAGTCTATAATACATAATACATAAACAAAAGTTATTTATTACCTACCTAAAACTTACAAGCGAATTTTTTTTTAATTCAATCTGGTTTTACATATAGAACCTAATAATGGTTAATACGAACACTGGAATACAACTACTCACGAAATATCCCTATAACCAAAAATTAGAAAAAAATAATAAATAACAATAAAATGGTACCTACCTACACATACTATACTAATTTAAAACGACAAAAAGATTTTGGAAATATTCGCTGATTTCACAAAATGTCTGGAAATATTTTTATATTTTTAACAAAAGTGTCCTCTTACGATTCAAATAAAATTGAATTAAAAGTAGTGTTTGAAATCTGAATTTATCAAATTACTTTACTGTTATAAGTTGTAACAAACAAATTATTCTGCACTTTAGTTTTATAATAAAAATATGTATTTTTCAATACAAAACATTTTAAATACTCTGATATTTTATCATATTATGTATATCTAGTATCATTAGTATTGAATAAAGAAAACAATCACTAATAAGTACAGCGAAGTAGGATTGCGCGCTTGCCGGATTATCAAACATGATTTTGACTATTCAAAAGCGTACGATTGGATGCGACACTGCCAAATTGTTTGTAACAAATTACAGTTATTTCGTAATTAATTTTTATATTTAAATACAGATAAAAATTCAGGAAATTTTTAAATACATTTACTCAAATACTTATTATTGTAAAAAAAAAATATCGTTAAATAGGTATACGTAAATAACACAAAATAATACAAACACTTTACGTAAACACGCAGTCAAAGTCATAAAAGAAAAAAATGAGAGCTGTCATGGGACACTCGGTAGAAACGAAGTTTATTTATAGTTTAGAAATACATTATAGTGGAACCATTCAAAATGAAATAATTATTTATAATTAAAAATTAAACATAAAAACAGATAGGTAAGCACCTACCCTAATACCTATGTTTATTTAAAGCAGGGGCTGGAACCTTTATTATTTTATCGGTTTGGGTTAAGGTTTCAGTTAATATCGATTTTAACCCTTTTTTATTTGACTTTTAATTTCAATTTTATCAATTAAGAACTGTATAAATAATCAACATATTAAGAACCTATATTTAATGACAGGTATTTTAGTATTTGTAGTTAAGTGTACTTATTTCAGATTTCAGGTAATATAATAACATTAAGATATAATATGTTAGGACTAAAACTATAAACAAAATACTGTTATATTCAATAATTTACTGACTGTTTATGGAAGTTTCAATATATCACTATATGTCTATATCACATCAAAATATAGATTTCGGTTTCGGTTTTGATTGCTAAAGAAATGTATTTAAGGTTTCGTTCCAAAACCGGTCTATTTCTGTACGGTTCCAGTAATTCAGTCCCTGATTTAAACTTTTTAAAGATTAAATAAATAATTTAGTTTATATATTAAAATAGGTAATAAGGTTACTCAAAACCTAATTTATTTTAAAATGTATTAAAAAATGTATTTGATATTCTCAGAATATAATTTGCTGTGAAATATAAATTGTAATTAAAAAAGTATTTTAAATTTAAATTATTTCTAGTCACTGGGTATGTGGTCATATTATGGTACATCATAATTGGTAGTAAAATATTAGTTTGGTAAATTTGGTCTAAAATAATTCTTGTATTATGTATTTTTAAATGTTTTCTGACCTTCTAGCCTATTTTTTAATTAATCTATTTTAAAATGATTTATATTCATAATTAACAATATTTTTATAACCTTTGTTAAATTTTCGATAATTTAAGTTACATTATGTAATACATTAATACGGTATTAAACGAAAAAAAAATATCGTGCTTAACATATCTAAAAGTGTACAAATGTACAATGAAAAATAAAATATAAAAATATATTTCGTACAATTCAATACTATTTTGTTCTATATGGTCGTTATTTTGACCTTCATTTAGAATAGTCAAACTATCGGTGTTCTCCTTCGAAATAATATAAATATAAAATACCAAAATTAAAAATTAAATTGGTAATGATAAACAAACATTTAAGTAAGTAATAAGTATATTCACAGCTTACTGTAATTCGTATGCGATGTGTTTACCAATTTATAAGCGATGAAACATGTCCTTTATTTTTTTTTCACTTTGGATAGATGTTTTGATTTTTTATTTGAAATTTTACCCAAATTGTTATAAATTATAAATTATAAATTCATAATATGCAGATCTTATTAAGACTGGTTTCCACTATACACATAGGTACGCGTGTACGTGCATGCATATCCTTTACTGTGATTGGTTGGTTAAGTTGTTACCATACGATTAACCACGATACCATGTTGTTAGACATAGCTGAACACTTTTCGTGTACACTGTACACGTGTATAGTGGAAACCCGCCTTTATGCTGTTTCAATTTCTTGCGTTATACCAGTTTTCTATTACCTAGTTTATACCAAACGTGACGCACAACAAAATGTAATTACGGCAAAGATAATGCACTGTAAAGGAATATATGCAACAATCAGATTATTCAACGAAAACAATTTCATAAAATAAAAATGTTTACGCGTCATGCAAGGAGGATATAATATATATATATATAAGATGTAACCAAAAGTTTATGTTTTGTAAGGACCTTGGTATAGATTTCAGGTTGTGCAGGAAATACGCGTGTCCAGCACTTTTGGGAATTTCCACTTTACCGCCAGCTGGACGGAAAAAAGAAGCAATCTAAACGCAAAGCTTCAAAAGTGGTCGTAAACCAAATTTTCGGTGCAGGCGTGACAAAAATATTTAAATATATTACGTACAATTCAATACTTATTGAATATATACTTATTAGTTATTACCAGTGGCGGCTCGCAAGTAAATTCATTGGGGAGACTGAAAATTTAATAATAAAAAAAAATGAACCCAAAAAAGATAAAAAAAAAACCTTTTTTTATTATTATAATTGATAGCTTTATAAAAATTATAAGAATAGATAATTATTAAATAATTATAATAATTTAATTACTAGGTACACGCTGCTATACAATGTCAAATAGCTAAATTTAATAGTCTAATACGGACGCACCACGCACGACACGCTGCAGTTTTCGTGTTTACAGAAAAATACGTGACGACCGCAATGCGAACGGCAAAAACTTTGAATGAGTCTAATCTCAATGTACTGAATAACATCTATACAATCTATCCCCGTCCTCCGCCTTGTCATGCATATGCAATTTGATTAATATTACATAATTGAGTCTTTCGGACGGCAGACTCTCGAACTAACGACCGTCGTCGTCGTCGCCGTCGTCGTCGTTATCGATATATTTAGCCTGTATTGTTATCGATATATTTTTATATTGTATTGTTATTGAATGACACTCATTATTAATGTAAAAATAGAATACAAAATATTATCAATATTAATATCGAAAACCATGATAATTATTTTCAGAATGGATTTAACATAAAAATATTAAATTATAATACAATTTTCTTCAAACTTTTTTATTGCATTACTACTTTTTATTTTTATGGGGAGTCGCCGTCTCAAAGACTCCCCTGACGAGCCGCCACTGGTTATTACTTATATTATATCTTATTAATTATAATAATTATAAATACATAATATACGTAGTGTGGTGATATAGTATCAATGATTTTATTATATTATCAATACCCGCAAGATATCTATAAATTATTAATTATTAATTATCACGGACCATCACTACAACTTACCGCTCCCGTTTTTTTTTTTGTTCCATCCTAAAAATAGATCTAATAATGCGATAATATTTCTGAAAACTGATCTTAATTAGATAGAATTTATCTTAGAGATTCGGTCAGTCCACATTTTAAAATTTCTGCTTTATATTTCGAATAAATCCAGAATAATCAACGTTTGAAAATTCCGAAGTTTTAAAATATTCAAGCTAAATTTTTAGAGGTTGGAGGGTTGGGGCTAAAATTGGAAAAAGTGGACTGACCAATCTCAAGTAGACATAATAACGAATTCAAATCTGTTTTAAAAAGTATTATCGCATTACTAGATCAATCAGTATGATGGAATGAAAATTGGATGTTTTTGTCAAAATAACTGTTAAATATATTATAAAAAATAGTATTTTATCTGGAACGTTTTTTCCCCACTATCCCCACATCGTGCCATAAAAAACTTCGTTTTAATAAGTATCGTTAAAAAAAAATTTCAATAACGATATTGCATTAACATTTATTTTGTGAATTGGTGAAACTATATTATATAGGTATAATGTTTGTTTGAAGCTTTGAATACTTGGTTATAAGTTATAACTTATATTTATCATAATAAAAAACATGCTTGACAAATTAAACATTTTTACAATAATTATCAATATCATATTGGGACATATTGTCTTATATGCATATTATATTATATTGTTTTCAACCGTTGTTTCCTTAATTTTAGTTGTGTATTTATGAGCATTTTTCGCTAAGTAATTATGTATAATGTATATACTGAAGACTAAACAATTATAATGACATATATCCTAATCCCTAATTATTATAATGAACCTGTAGATATATTATTGTAATAATATAATTAATTAAACGTTTTTAGAAAAACCATTTTTTTTAGAACTAGAAACTAAAATTATTTCAAAACTTAACAAATATTGGAGGAGAATAGAATTTATAAATTGTATAATAATTTATAAACCGTATAGAATTGTAGGTCATTAAAAAATATCTAAATATATTTTAATTTAAACAATAATAAAATATAGATTTTGGGTATGTCGAAAATAAACTAAATTTGACAGTTTTTATTAATTAAACAATTTGCCAAGGAATTATAAACAAGTCTTAATAGGGCAATCGAATTAAAAATGGACACTCACAGAGATACAGACTATTCACAATGTCGTATCCTACCTATTTCTTTTTAAGTTTTTGTAACAAAATAATCAGGCATTTTCGATTTACCTATCAATATTTGAATATATATTTATTTTTAGGGACCAGAAATTGTGCACGTTTCAAAATTTTATAAAGAAGGCATAGAAGGAAAATTTTTAAGTAATATAGCACCAGATGCTAGGACCTTGTACGAGACGTTTCGGAAAGGCGCAAAAGTTTCAAGTGATATATATATTTTTGCCCATAATTCGCAATGAATTATGAACTATAATAAACTAACTAATTTCTCATGTATTTTCAGACAATGGGAAGTGCCTAGGCTGGCGTGAAAATATCAGTAAACCATTTCAATGGATTCATTACAATGAGACATTACTTCGAGCTCGAAATTTCGGTTCAGGTCTATTAGGTCTTGGTTTTCCGAAAGCTAACCAGATTTTCATCGGAATATTTAGTCAAAACTGTCCCGAATGGATTTTAACAGAACAAGCAGCTTATTGTTTTTCTATGGTGGTTGTACCACTTTACGATACATTGGGCCCAGAAGCTTGTTCATTCATTATAAACCAAGGTATTGTTAGTATTATTATGTATTTCGTGTGGAATTATGTGAACACAGTGAGTCAATTACCGTTAAGATGGATAAGGGGGGGTTGAATATGGTTAATCGTCTGACGTGGTACCTATGTGATAACTTAGCGGAAATATCAGTGGTGGTGGTCGACACGGACGATAAATGCAATCAGCTATTGGATAGATCGCCAAAGTGTCTTCGGCGGATAATTGTTATCCGCGGTGCCCGACCATCGACTAGCCAGAAAGCCAAGAATCGTGGTGTAGAATTATTGACTTTCGAAGAAGTGGAGAAAGCTGGAGCATCTAAAACTTATCCAGAACAGGTAAACATTTAAATAATTAAACTTTAATTACGATGTGTCATGAGTCATAACTTAAGAGTTATGACCATTTGTTTGTATTTATCATAAATCAATCATTTATATCATAATAATATATCATATCATATCATAAATCATTTTCTACTGTAAAAAAATTGTTTAAATATATTTTATTTTGGTTTTTATTAATTTATTTGTATGATATAATTTTTGTTTTGGGGTAAAAATTGATAAAAGGTGAGGAATAAGTTTTTCATATTATGTTATCATTAAATAAAACTTGATATTTTCTCAATACACAAAAAATTACATACATGGAATACATGGATATGTTTTTGAAATTTAATTTTATAAAATACCTATGCACAACCTTTATAAAATAACAAATATTTCCATACCAAAATGTTATCGGTCAGAAAAAAAAATTATGTGAATCTTGTGGCAAAAACATATATTCACATATTTATGTTAAGATAAACACCCAGTCAAGTGCCACTAGTGGGTGGCTTCTTATCAAGTACTCATGTATTATATTGTAACCTTTATCAAATATTCTTATTGTGCATCAACTGTACAGATTTTATATAATATTATTGTGTAAAATAAAATAAAAAAATGTTAGAATATCGAAATTATACTGTCATAATAATTCTTTTTTATAAGATTTAAAAGTTTAAATTTTTAAAATAATTTTTTTGGGAGCAAATAGTACAGAATAGTGTAAATAGTATAAGCAAATAGTACAAAATGCTAAGGGTGCAACCAAACCTAAATATGTCCCTGCAGTGGTGTAGTCGTAATTTTTTTACTGAGTATACGCTTTTAATGTGCTTGATATGTAAACGTGGGGGGCTAATAACTAATAACGAGTAATAAGTAGTACCTAATAACCAATTAACAATTTAACAATTTATCAATAAAAACATTTTCTTCAAAGCGAGTTCGGTATAATTTTTACCGATATATTTGTATTTGTTAATATTACGGTTAATATACGGTAAAAATATTAACAAAATTGAAAATATACAAACTACAAAGGTTATTAATGTTTTATTATTGTGGTAAACTGTTTACTGTACAGTGACACAGTGTATCAGTAATCACTAATCAGTGTACACGAAATAATATTTATTGACAAAATTATTTTCGGTAATGCATGTGACCGTGCATCTCGGCGTCGGCGATCGTTATCGATAAGCTTATAATTTTAGATGTATAATATATATTATACAGAGTGTTTCAAAATGATTCATCCGATTTACATTACATCCAAGGTGGATATATATCCACCTTGATTACATCCTAACCCGAATCGGATGAATCATTTTAAAATTTGAAACACTCTGTATATAATAAATTTAGATCCATGCAATGAAGTTAAAAATAGATGTGTAAAATGTAAAAATAATAACCGTTCCTGAACGTGGTAACAAGGAAATATGTTTGGTATTATTGGTTATTCGTTAATACTGTTTATATTATAGGTAAATAGTATACCCGTATTTATACCTGCGTATCACAAATTATATTATAGGTATACGCATCAACCAAAAACTGGAGAAGTCGTTATACGCCGTATACCCGCGTATACGCCCCACTACACCACTGTGTCACTGTATTTATGTTGGTAGGTATTCAAATAATTGACCCAGATAAAAAAAAACTTATTATATTTATATACCTACTGTATATACCTAGTTTGTTTGATCTGTTTTCTGAATTAGTGAATTACTGAAACCAATTCTAGTTACAATAACTAATTAGGAGTACGAATTAAAAATTGAGAATATATTTCTTTTTCTTTTTTCTCAAACTAAAAATATTATATTTATAAATAAAAACACGTATGTACCTATAAGTATTGATCATTAAACACAATAACACTTATTTAAAATCTAAAAACAAATTTAATATCTTAAATATCTTCTCTGAAAATATAACAACAGAGTTTAGCTATTATAATCAATATATCAGATATGACATTTTGACTCGAATTAGTCTGTACGCATAATTCACTTGTCTGTAAACAGCCCCCAAAACCTACTGATTTGTGCACAATATGCTACACTTCGGGCACCACGGGATTGCCCAAAGGAGTGATGCTGACCCACGGCAACGTAGTGGCAGCTGTCAGTGCCGTCCTAGTGCAACTTTCTCAATACAGGCCGAGTGTGGGTGACGTGATGATCTCGTACTTGCCTTTAGCACACATGTTGGAAAGGTGTTGTGAAGTAGGTATACAATGAATACTTGAACGACTCGCAAGTCCCGTCTAACTAACGTCGATAATGTCCGTGCCCACAGAACGGCATGTATTTGGTCGGCGGTTCGGTCGGTTTTTACAGTGGAAATATCAAGTTTCTGTTTGAAGATATGAAGGTGTTGAAGCCGACGATTATGCCCAGTGTCCCTCGTCTGCTCAACAGAATCTACGAGACGGAAATGGCGAACATTGTTCCGCACTTTTTCAAACGCGTCATGTTGAACATGGCGCTCCGGTCGAAAGAAAACGAAATTAAAAAGTTTGGTTTGTCTCCTAATTCTATTATCGTTCAAATAACCTAGTCGCTTTACTCTGTGCTTGTTTTTTTTTTTTTTTTAGAGGCATTATCCGGAAGAACAGTATCTGGGACCGGTTGGTGTTCGGCGCTTTGCAGAGGAACATGGGCGGACGCCTGAGACTGATGATCACTGGCTCGGCTCCGTTGGCCGGTAACGTTTTGACTTTCATGAGATGTGCACTTGGATGTATAGTGAGTTTACCTTATTAAAAAAAATATTTTCGTGTAGCACGTGTTATATTAGCAATTAGCGTACCTACATTATTGTGTTCATCAGGTGGTAGAGGGATACGGTCAAACCGAGTGTACGGCACCCATAACGTTGTCGATCCAAGGAGATATGCACACAGAGCACGTAGGACCTCCAATAGCTTGTAACTTGGTTAAACTGGCTGACGTACCGGAAATGGAATATTACGCGACGTCTAACCAAGGAGAAATTTGCGTAAAAGGGTCTAACATTTTTCAAGGGTACTTTAAAGATCCAGATACCGTTTCGTTCGACGATCACGGGTGGCATCATACCGGAGACATTGGAATGTGGCTTTCTGTGAGTGTCAAAGATACATTATATATTCATAAGTTATTTATCTTTCATTTTTAATGTACCTATGTATTTATTTATGCGAAGTTTGTAATAACTAATAATTAATAGGTATATATTATTTATTTAATAATAAGTATTATTTTTTTTGTTTTCAGAACGGCACACTTAAAATAATCGATCGCAAGAGACATATATTTAAACTCTCTCAAGGCGAATATATTGTTCCAGAAAAGATCGAAACAATTTATCATAAAAGTCAATATGTGCAACAAGTATTTGTCCACGGAGAATCGTTAAAGGTAATTTATATTAGCTGTTGTTACAAGTCGGTTGACCGTAGCCTCGTACTTGTAGAGTTTGAATATAGATTTATTAAATAAAGTAACAAACACACGTCTTTTCAGTTATAAAGTTTATTGAGTTGAACATATACAGGCAATGGAACTGTCCATTCTCCACTAATTCTCTTACAATCTTAATGTTCCTTATATCTAAACTTATGTAGGACAATCCCTCCTATATAAAAAGTGATTACTTGCAGTTTCGTGATTGCACACTAAATTACAATAATCATTTCATTTCGTAATTCTAAATTATTTCTAATTTGTTTACTAACTGCTACATCCTTACTTACTTCCTATGTTTAATAATACCAATTCATAACACTGTTAACCACTATTTAAATGTTTCTCGAAAGAAAATTAGAAATTAGAGTAACTTAAAGCAAAAATAAAATTGACTTTTTATAGGTATCTAGTATAATTGCATAATAACTAAAGATATTTTCGTATATAACTTATTTCGTAATTATAAGATAAGGCGTATACGTCATACGCTATTAACACAAGTAGTAAAATTAAATTAAATAATATTTTATAAGAATTTTAATTGCTTACTTTTTATTGCATATACCTACCGGCTACCAGTGATGGATTTATCGGTCGTTTAGTCAGCAATTGCCAACGTGGCTCGAACGTTTATTTGCCATTTGGTAACCTAAATTACAGCGAAAAGATTTTGCAAAAGATATATGCCACGACTTACGGATACGTTTTGCACTAGGTCCCCCTTATGTTTGTTCCGACAGTAATTTTAATCTTAAATCCACTGTTACTATAGTAATATTAATTGTCACATGTTATATTTACACTGTTTTTAAAACTATATTTTTTAATTTTTTATAATAGTACATTTTTTATGTATAGGTATAGGGGATTTTACTTCCAAATGTATACAATTAAATATAATATAATGTCATGATTCGTGGCATAATATAAGTGCTAAACGCTAAACCATAATTGTGCAAAGTTTATTAAAATAACTTTTATTTAATAATTGAATCTGCCTTGTCCTACCTACTCTGAGTATAATCTCCCTATTACGATTTTTAATAAACTTAATAGATTTTTAAAAGTTGAATTATTTGTATGATAATATGAATTGCCGTGTACTAAAATTATTATGTTTATTCTTTAGTACAAATTAAAATACAAATATTTAAGTTTAATTTATCATATAGTTGGCTATCTTCCAACTCGGTAAAATGTAAATGTTTATACATACAACACGCTAGTGTTAAAGTCTAAAGACTATTTAAACTTTTAAGTGTAAATAATAACATAATTGTCTTTCATGAAGTTTAGATATCTTTCAAGAATTAAAACATTACTTTTAAGTCTGTATGAGTTCAACCAACTGACATTTTATTAAATAGCTGTTTAAATTAATTATAAATATGAATGGTTTAAAGACAAAAATCGAAACTAACTATAAAAAAGTGGGCTGTAATACAAAAATAATGGTTTGAATATTTTTAGATCTATTTAAAAATATTTTTAAGCATTTTAGTCGCCTTAACTAGCCAATATTTTTATACAAGGTTAATTAATGATGTTATCTATCACAATATTATAATATACCTAATAATATATGTATAGTAATTACTAATTATACATATTTATATAGGCATTAATAAAAAATGTCTCGTCGAAGGTTACATTAAAATAATTTTCTATCTGAGTGCAAGAATACTTTAAGTTATTTTTATGGTTTTTACCGTTTTAGTCGTGCATCATAGCCATAGTGGTTCCCATGGTGGACGTTATTAAAACTTGGGCGCAAGAGAATGGCATATCCGGTACTCTGTCAGTGTTGTGCGCGAACCCCGAGGTCAAAAAGCTCATTATGGATGATATGACGGCTTGGGGAAAAGACGGTGGTCTTAAGTCATTCGAACAAGTACTGTTTTATTTGATATCATAATATTATTTTATTTATTATTCTCAGTTCTTTCAATGTTTGATTATTATTATTTATTTATCACTTATCAGTGTGCGTAATGTGTATTGTTTATACTGTATATGGATATACGTCAATAGATAGCTGATAATTGATAGCGCGACAATTCATAGCGGTCAATTAATTGCACGTAAATTGATCGCGAGCGACTTTTCATAGTAGGACAATTTGTAGTGCCGTATAGAATTCAATAAAAATAATAATAAAATAAACTATTTAAAAAAATATACTAATAGTAAAAAATATTACAAGTCACAATTAAAATTAAACAATATTTATGTTGCCTAAAAAAAGTATAATATACAAATTTAATTTATGGATATTATAATACAATATTTATGTTGCCTAAAAATAACTATACCTGTAGCTGGAAATTATGTTCTATGCCTCTTAGATAGTCTTCAATTGTTCTATTTTCATAATCTAAATAAATTTTTTTGATTTTAGCACTTCGATCTTTTTATATTTTTTTTGATGGCGGTTCCATCCCAGCAACATATTGCTCTATTTTCATTCCATTTACTTGCTCCTCTTTTTGCAACGCATTTGCCATTTATGAACTTCCATGTGGGATGAGGAGTTTAACATTGCAGAAAAACAATTGTGCCCCCCTTCTACGGAGTTATTTGTTCGGGGTAAATCTAAAAGTAGCACTGTTATATTATGGTGTTGTACGTGGTTGTACCAACTGACAACTGATACACCTACTGTATAGTATATATATAGATACTAGCAGTGGCGTGGCGAAGGTTTTTTTTTGGGCTAAGCCCCCCCCCCCTAGATACGCCTATGCTATACGCTATAAATTGTCATACTATCAAAAGTCGCTCACGATCAATTTACGCGCTATAAATTGACCGCTATCTATTGTCGCGCTATCAATTATCCGCTATCTATTGACGGGACACCACTGTATATATAGGTACGTAAATTAGTCCAACCAATCTTTTAATCTTAAAACGCATTATTTTGTTTAAGGTGAAAGACGTCTATCTACATCCGGACCCTTTTTCTGTGCAAAACGGACTGTTGACACCTACGTTCAAAATGAAACGTCCCCAGGTTAGGTCGTACTTCGCCCCGCAGATCGAAGACATGTACATGAAGTTGAAATGAACAGATACATAATATAATAATATATGCATTATACATACAATACGAATGACAATGTTAAATAATAATATGTACTTTCCTGTTGTATTGGACGCGATATTCTTCTCTATTTCTCTCGTACGCGTGTATAATGATAATATCAGTATTATAATAGGTATATAATATAGATATTGATAATACGATTTCTTCTGCCCCACGATGGCAATAATAATAATATGTTAAACATGATATATTTCTGTAAAACGTGTAATAAAAACTTTTCTGAAGATCAAAACTCATTGTTATTTACTATTATTAAAGACACTCTATCATAACAGGTAACCTATTATTATTTAATTCGTACACCAATATAATTCCTCATTAAAACTATGTACCTAAGCATATACAGGTACTATTATTTCGTCCATCCATATCTCGCATAAAAATTATTATTTTTATCATTCGACCAATACACAAAATATATTCAAGATTAAGATACAAATATTAAAAAATAAAAAAACTATATCGGTTTATTTATACAATAATAATTACAAATATGTATTTAACCAGGTATAGATAGGTAGATACCTACTTATTTATAGTTTATATTACATACAGGAGACTTTTATTCATTTACTGTTTACAGCAGTTCATCGATCAAAACATCAAAGTTTACTAGTGATTCTGGTGATGGAGTTTTATCCCACCGGCAATTTGGGATTCCTATAAAAATTTTTATTAGATTATAAAATTATTAGTTTAATATTTATGGTTTATAATCGTAGTGTGTATTATAATACACAGTCACTGTGTAACCACTAAATAGGTTTGACATTAATTTTAATACTTTATATTATATGTATAGGTGCCAAAGTGTCCGTATTACAATCGTTAAACTAAGGTTAAACCACCGAATTCGGTCGGTAAAATCAGTGGGTTAGGCGAAACCGAGGTTTAAACTATGATTGTGAAACAGGCCCTAAGTTACAGAGTGTAACAGAAAAAACTGACTAATGCAATACATTTTGTTATAATCAATATTTTATTTATTTCATATAATTTATAACACTTATGCTATATTTATAATATAAATTTTTTCATTTTTATTTCTTGAAACTGAATATATAAATTTTAAAAAATTGATTCAAAATATTTTGGAAAATTTCAAAATAGCTTTTTTATAAATCTGATTAAAAGAACGATTTTGCTGTTAAAAAGTAAAAAAAATGATCGAAGTCAAGTAATTTATTTTTTAGAATTTTTAAAATATCAAAATTTTTTTGTAGTTTACTTAAGGCGTAATTTTTTTCAAAACATTGATAATATGAGTATTGAGTATATTTTTAAAATTATTTTTTATCATTATAATTTTCATAATTTTATTGCTGTCATACGTTTAAATAGCATAATTATTTTTACCAATTTTTCTGTTACACTGTAACCCTGTATATAACTATCTATATAGTATATTATAGAGTCCATAATATAAACATAATATAGTCAATAGTCATAGTATAATATTGTTTACGATTAACATGTGTTATAGATCAAATACTTATGAATTAAAAATATAAAAGGGAAACATAATATATTATTTTTCTTAAAGTATTTTTATAGATACTCTTTATTTGTCAAAGTGGCGGTACTGACCTGATGATGGCAAAACAACAGACAAGATGCTCTCTATAAGATTTGATTTCAGTATGTGATCACTGGAAGTTGTACACGTGAGTGACGGTGAAGAGTTCACTTCGATCAACCAAGGTTTTAGGTCTTCGTCTACAATAATATCATAGCCATAGCATTCGAAACAATGGGTATCGTGAGACATGACACTACGAGCAGCCTTCAATGAGTGCACAATTATAAATGATATGTCGTCGAACAGTTTACGAGTACGTTTTTCACCTCGTGTACTGGTTAAGTACAATTTTAGATTTTCGGTGGACCATTTACCTCCATGGATATTATTATAGTCTTCGCCTATAGTATAATTGTTTAAACGTTATCTCAATTTTCAATATCTAGTAAATTATATTTTAGACAATATCCACACATTATACAATGTACTAGCATAGGTTGAAATTTGCAGGGAGGGGCTTAGACCATTCAAATGTCTTTCGGTTTTCCTATAAATCAAATAAAAAGTGGGCAAGTAGGTGTCGCTCTGCTGTACAGTAGGTTACAAGTGAGTCACCGTAATGTATGGTGTTCAAATTGAATGCGATGATAATATAATATCATTGTATACGCAAAATGATTCTGGGCGAAGACGGACACTCAGCCTATGAATTTTGATAATATATCATTATTATAATTTATGATAGTATATTTGATGATATTATTGCGAATAAAATTACTTAATTACTTATTTACTTGGAATTTTGTTTAAAATTTTCAATCCTTAGCTATAAAATTTGAACATTTTATACATTTTTAAATTACAAAATAATTTTTAGTTTTTAAATTTGATAAATTTTGTCAACATTTGAACTTCAAACAATGTTTGTAAAAATAATCTGTGCCTATGTATTTTAAATATGTTTTAACTGCTATTGTAACAATATATCAGAAACTTTATATTTTATTGATATTTATAATAGCCAATTAACCATCGTGCAATAAGTGGAAAAATTATGTGGCCATTGGTCAGCACTCAGCAGTAACTAACTATCGTCCATCATGCCGGAAAGAGTTAAAGAAAACGTTTTTTTTGTGACATACTATCTTAATATTATATTCGTCAATCGCTGTATGTCAGTTATTAAAACCGCGGACAACATTATAATATAATATTTTGGCATTGACGTTGAGCGTGATAATCGATAACCTTGAACTCGAACTAGGACCGGTTTTCCAACATAAATACTCAGGTGCACGTTGCGATTGCATATCACGCAAAACGACGGCGAATTACTGCAGGTGGTCGCATTAGTAATTGTGTCAGAATCGTGGCCATAGAATGATTCGGTGAAGTGTGTGTGTGTTTGTGTGTGATTTTGCTCCTCATATGGAACTTATCATTATGTCAACAGTAACCAACATTAAGCTAAAGCCTTAAATATAATATATGTAATTAGATTTTGATTCTATTTAACACATCAGAACTACTAAATTTCAAGGTACACACAAAACCTACGGCAGAGCTTATTCCCCGGTATTTTCCCATTATTATTATATCATTTTACTAATATGTATTTTTAAGATTTAGCATTGATCAATGGTATTGGGTATCTTTTATATTACATACGTTTAAAATATCGTAATAAAACTAAATACACAATTACCTATATAATATTATTATTATTATTCAGACTATCATATTAGTAGGTACATACAGGTTATGGTACCAGGGCCATGCGCTAAAGCACCAATGTGATCGAGAATAATTAAATACTGAACTAAACCAAAAATCCACAGTCACACGATGTTCATACATTCCTAGTAGAAAAGTTACCGATAGCCTAACCAAATTTCCCCGTGTTAAGATGAGGATGTCAGTTCACTATTTGTTTTCTCTCTCAGGCCCACTCGAAATATAGACAAAACGCATTAACGCAGTCACGCAGAATCATTTTTTTTATGTTTTTATGTAATTTTTGAGTAAAATCACCCATTACAAAAAAAATAGAGAAAAATATTTTTGAGGGAATGACATATTATCGATTTTATATTTTATTGTTATTTGACTTTGTATTCGGCTTTCAAAATAAACAAAAAAATGTTGTAAATTTAAATTATGTTTAAATTGTTATGAGACAATATTTAGACAAATCGATATGACATTTCCCTCAGGCCTCAAAAATATTATCCTCTATCTTAAGATAATTTTATCTTAAGAAGACGTGATACCCGCATGGGTGTCTCCGTCTTACAAATGCTTAACATACCAACTTTAAAGCTCAGCAGAACACATTTATCTCCGTTAGTTTAAAAATTAGAGCAAATTGACTTCTTATAAAATTTAAAGGTAATACTATTATCTATACAATGACATAGGCTTTTTATTATATTTTAGTTATAAATCGAATTATGTGAATTTACTATTTTAAAATTGTAAACTTTTTGTACACAATATCAGAAACTTCATAACTCACTTTAAAATTAAAATATAATAAAAAGACCATGAGGTAGCCTGGATATAAAAATCTCTCCTTTAAATTTTATAAGAGGTTAATTCTTTCTAATTTTTAAATCAAAGGAGCTACACGTGTTTTGCTGAGCATAATATTTGCTATGATACGCACTTGTAAGACGGAGACAACACATGCGAGTATCTCGTCCTTAACGATGAACGCTGTTGCATTAGAATAGTATCATTGTATACGAAAAACGATTCTGAGCGGAGACGGTTTATCAGTGTGGATATTTTATATTATATTTATTATTAATAGGTACGGTTAGTACCGGTTAGTACCGGTAAGTTGAATTAATATTATAAAATTGCAAAAAAATAACTAAAATTGTTACTCTTGGTTATTTCGTCCAACTTTAAACATAAAATAACTTTAGACAAAAACTGTGTTTTAAAAATATATCAGGAGCCTTGTGTTAATTTTTCACGTTTTTTAACCCAATATTTATAGATAAAAAAAACTAAAATAATTGGAAACTGAAAATGTCCGTAAACAATAAAAACAAGTCAAAATATTTTAAAAATTGTACGAAGTATAGAATTGATAAAATAAACATATTATGATATAAATTTCATGAGTCTACTATTATTTGTTTTTAAATTACAACTGCAAAATAAGAAAACTTATAAGGAATCTTGTATTACATTTTAAAAACTTAGATTTAAAAAGGAAATTTTTTATAAATTTTTAACTCAAAATAATTTTCAGTGATTTTTTAGTATTTTGTCAAAATCCAAACTTTAAAAGGTTATGACAAAAAAATGTGACAATGTATTTTTAATATTTTTCAACTGACATACATTTAACAAGATATTAAAAGTTTTGTACTAAATTTTCAATCTTTTTGATCAAACGTATACAATTTTATTGTAATTTACTAAAAAAAAATCTAAAAAAATTAATAATTGAAATGTCTGTAAACAGCTCAAAACTGAAGATGAAATTTGACACATTATTTTGACTACTTATCGTGTACACAAACACAAAAAATAAAACAAATTTAAAAAACACAAAGATCCGCTCGGAATCTAAAATGATTGTAATTATATTTTATTAAATACTATCCAAAATGTTTATAAAAGATATGATAACTACATGTAGTATATGTATATAGAACATTTTCTTAGTATATAATAGTGGTAAATTCACTGACTAAAATTCATATTGTCATTATATTTAAAATAAATTGCTTTTAAAGATATCTTTAATATTCATGGGTTGTAATATACCTACTTGAATTACGTCGTATTCCACAGTACCTACTTAAATTTAGAGTTTTATAGTTAGGTACCTACTATTTATTTATAATTGTTCATATACCATATTATAAATAAATTTCAATAAGAAATTCAATACAGTAGAAGTCTCAAAATTACATATAACACATTATTAACAAATTTATTTTCAAATTTAAAATACTGACCATGTATGTAATCTATTCTTCAGTTTGGATCTTGGGTAATCAAATAATAACTTAAAAAATTTAAAACCATGATAAAAGTATTGAATAATTAAAATATATATACCTACCATAAGTTGTAAATCTGAATTAGTTTTAAAATAACCACAATATTAAGCAGTCGATTAGTATTATTAAATGTATATAATAAATTGCATTCATTACCTTCTTTTTGTACTGATACGTTCGTTAAATGAGCAAATAAGCAATTAATGTCCATCAAATGTGCATTATATTTTACACTACAGAAACGACAAAACCCAAATTTAAACAAATAGGCTTTTAATGGATGAAATGAAGTAACCAAAACATAAAGACGTAAATCGAACTTTTTTCCACTTATCAACAAAGGGTTTTCGATGTATCTGATCCAAAACAAATATTAAAAATCATATAGTTAAATAATTACTGTATCCATAATGTAGGTACCTACTTATACAAAACAATATCAAAAAATAAAATATATACCTAGATATTATATAAGTTTCTTTTTTAGTTGATGCATTTTTACGATATTTTTTTTCCTTGGACCATTTCTTTAATTGAGACAATTTGTCTATTAGAAATATCCCTGAGCCTCGGGATTTACCACTTGGTTTCACAATCCAAGTACTTGGATTTTTGCGATATTCTTCCAAGAATAAATTATAATCAACGGGTAGTACGTAAGTTGAAGGAATAAAATCCAAGTACAAAAATGTACCACGGACGCATTCTGCAATAGAATTGCCACTTTTTAGCAATTCACGGCGATAACGTCTGATATTTCTATGAAACGTAAATGTAAACAAATATTTTTATACATGTGCATACATATGTATAGGTATCAAATATACGAATACAATAAATTATTAGAGAAGTCCTTATTAAAGCTTAACATACAATAAAGGAGAATTTCAAAAAAAAAGAACAGTCATACAATTATTGTAAATATAACCTATTACGATTTTTGAAATTATTATGGTTAGTTATTATACCTAGATACATTAAGTTTTAGAGACACATTGAGCTTATAAATACGTATGTAAAACTATTAAAATAAAATTAAAACATGACCTTTATTCTTTATGAAAATTTCACATTTTCCAAAATGCTTAAAAAAATTAACCGAGTGTTTAGAAATATTAGACTATTTTATACACAGTAAGAAATATACTGAACTACAACTTCTATATGGATAGACATATATACATAATATTATATTGTAACGTTTTTTTTCAATATTTGTCAATAACGTTTATCTGAGTTTAAAAAAACTACCAAAAATTATCTCTCTAACGTACCTACTAAAACTGAGTAAATTTTCAAGTAGAACTCCAGCTACTAGTAAAAAAACAAGGGATAAAGCTTACAGAGCTTCCAATTTCATTTGACACCTTAAATCCACTAAAACATCTACATTAGTTTCTTAAAATAAGTACAGGTACTATTCTTATTAGTTATATTTTCTATTCTTCTTTAGTTTGATCATATTAAAATATGAACACCTATGCTTGAATATCGAAAATCAACATTAAGCCAGACTACCCAGCAACAAATGATGTAACTCATGTAAATAGATTTTAACACACCAATGTACATATGATATAATGATATAATTTATAATACTATTCATTATATACAGAAATAATTTACCTTATAAGTAAATCTTTTCGGCCGAGTTCATAGTGATTTGGGAAATGATTTATTATCTGATCGTCTTTCAATCTATAATTTTTGTCAGCATTAAACAAACAACGACAAGTTTGTAAACTAGTCCAATAGAAATGCCAATCGTCTTCAGGGCCTACATGTACCCATCCACGTTTTTCGAAGTTACTCAGTAACACAGAACGATCTATATCCGTGCAATATTTTATTTTAATCATATCTATTTATTTTCTTGTACATTACATAAGGACATAACAGACAATTATACATTTAAATTACTGACAGTTAAGCGTGTTATTTGCAGTCTCTCCTTAACAACCAAATATCATAGAAGAGACATCTCTTACACATGTATAACTTAAATAAACAAAATAACAATACCTACAAGAGAGCTGAGAGCTGTGATAATTATAGCCAACCATAAAACGTTTAGGTTATAATGTCATATTTTATCCATAATTTATTATAACTCAGATGAACGTCTTCTCCAAAGTTTGGATCATCGGTGATAAGTACCTTTAAATTATCTACGGGCAATGGTATTATGGTAATTAAGCGAAAATCAATTTTAACCTACAACATTAATAATAATTTATTTTAATTACATAATATGTACAGTCAAAACTCGAAAGAGTTAGTATAGGTATGTGCAGCATTGTTTTTGTGAGCCACGGATATACAGAGTGTATCTAATGTCATCTTATGTGTATAACCACTGGAACCCACAAAAACGTCGGCGTGAACAGTCCCAAAATGTCTATTTTTTTTAGCTTTTCTCCTAAACTATGATAGCTAGAAAGTTAGTTGATAACTCATTAAAAAGGGAATATCAAGTAGATACTAAATGTTTAATTAATATTATTTTTTTAAAAATTATTTAATTTTTTACAGATAAAAAACTATTTATTTTTCGCTAGATTTTCATTTAGCGGGGTAGATTTCCGAAACTGGAGAACGGATTTTGTTGTTTGGGGTCTTATTGGATTCACATTGGCTAGAGGAAGTGCAGTGAAGATTTTCAGAACTTTAACTCCAATCGTTAATTCACTACAAAGCTGTAAAGCTGAATAACATCAAAAAACGCCCAATAAAATATGTTTTAATATTTTTTAATGTTCTGTAGTGAATTAACTATTAAAGATAAAGTTCTGTAAATCTTCACTGCACTTCTCCTAACCAATGTGAGTATAACAAGACCCCAAACAACGAATGCCGCTCTCCGAATTTCGGAGATCCATCTCACTAAATGAAAATGAAAATAATTTTTTGTGGGGCTGTTCACCCCGACATTTTTCTGGATTCAAATTTTTATGCCACTTAGGTGTGATATCAGTTAATACACTTCTAAAAATTAAAAATCAAGAAAGTTTACATGCCAATCTCTGACTTTTTAGATTTTAATTTTAAAGCAAGTTATGAGTATTTAAAAAGGCACAAACAATTTACATTTTTTAAATTTTTTAATTAACTTTGGAAGCATACAACACATGAATATGTGAACGTAGTGTACAGCATAAAAACACCAATAATTAATGTTTAATCGGTATTGATGAGGTATTTTACCTGTATAAAATATACTTTTTTCAGCGCATCCCAAACGGCTCCCATCCATTGTTTGCTTATTCCCAAACGGCTCTCGCCGAAAAAGGTTTTAACAAACAGGTCAATTCCCAAACTGCTGGGGTCGGTTGCCCTAGCAATGACCGTGAACCGGCCCGGCGGGCACACCGCCCGGAACTACGGGTCATTTAATCGTAGCTGTCTGCGGCGTGCTGTTAGTTATTGACACGCTACCCGACCCGAGACGAATCTCGGGGAAACCGGGCGTCCCACTATCCGCAACCAGTGGACTCAATCTATACCGACCGTCGTCAGACCGTATCAGATAAATGTTTGACAGTCAGTCCTTCAATATGCTAAATAAGTAGGTACGTGTGTGTATCAATTAGACTTAGACCAAACTTGGGATGTAACATTTTGTTTATATCCGGGACGGATTGGTAACGCAGTGTACTCCGGTGAAATGGGGTGAGAGGAGGAGGGAGGTGTCGATGGTTGGGCGGCCCTGGCAGAGTCTGCAGAGGACGTGCGCCCGTCTGGGGAATGTTGGCGAGGGAGAATGCGAGCGCCACCTAACAGGTGTTTTTTGAACAAACATGGACGGAGGCGTCGAAGGCTGCTGACACACTGTAACGTATTTACACGTAGTGTACACAACACGTTTCCAGCTGAGCCTAGCGAGTTGCGAGTTTGCGAGTGCAAGTCAGTGGCTGGCCATAATATTAAGTTTTTCTTTTCCGGTCTATCATCCATTTTGTACTTCTTATTCACGGTCACGGTCGGTACTCTGGACATTGTATACGGTGTTCGGCCTCATTAGTCCTTATCATACCCAGTGGCGTAGCAAGGGTATGGCGAACTGTGCCAACGCCAGGGGCTCAAATTTGTGCTTTTAAATTGGTTTTTATTTTTATTCTACCTTCAAAACGACATTTCTTTATTACCTATTCGGCTATACATTTTGAAATGTGTATGATTTTGTTTATCTTGTTTATCTTTAAATTCGTGTTTCGTGTGTGTGTGTGTGTGTGTGTGTGAACACTGAACATCGAGCTTATCATTATCGGATCGCCTGTGACCCGTCTATAAAGTATATTATTATATTATTTGTCGTCTATATATCAATTATCTTATTTTTTAAAGTGACTGAAATTTTTAAAGTTTGAAATTTACATTATCATAATAACTGATAAATAAATAATATTGTATTACCTAATTATATATATAAAAAATAAATGTTAAAAAATAACATTCCGTATTTTCGTCAATTTTTTAATCGCTAAAAAAGCTCATTTTCCTAGGTTTGCCAGGGGCGCTAACGATGTCTTTCTACGCCACTGATCATACCGTTAGTTATCTATTCACGTGCCACGTCGTCACTTGTTGCTTTTTACAAAGTACCATTGTTTCATCTGTTCGGTGATGGTGTCGTGTTTGCGTGGTTGCACACTTGCATTATAATATAATACATTGTATATACCTACCAACTACCAAGTTGGCGAGTATCTAAGTATAATTATTGATGTAATGATGTCCGAATTTTACTAATATTGTGGGTATAATACATATTATTGTTATAGTATTTAATTATGACGGCTGCCATACACTCGTCACTATATACGGATCGCAATTGTCCACATAACAATTAACCAGGTGCAACGGAAAGTTTCAATCCAAACTATTTAAAACAGCGTCAAAGTATTGGTCGTTACGTAACTATCGGAAAATGGACGATATCACCGATGAGATTTTAAAAGTCAGACACCCTGATACGCCGGTGTTGATGAATGTCCCCAGAATAGATAAGCTCATTAAGATCTCAAGTTATATGCCATGTCGGGTACGATAGTTATTATTATGTGTATTTTTATTATTTGCCGTTGGCTTATCAATAATCTTGAGTGTTGAGTCTGTGTGCCTATAAGTAGGCCTAATGTTTATGAATTTATATCACACTAACTATATTAAAAAATTCTTAATGGTCGGTTTACTTATTGATTTTATGCAAACGCATATTTTCCAGTATTGATATCAAACATAAATATGAATACCTACATAATTTCTATATTTTTTTGTTTACCTACTAACAATATTAACAGTCAGTGTCCTTTGAATACAAAATAGCCAATAGCCGCAATAAGTTGACGCGGACACGATGATTGCTTCAAGGTTGATCGTGGTCCGGTCGAAGTGTTTGGTTAGGATTGAGGTGATGAAAAAAACACAACACAAACAATTCGACCGGACCACGATCAACCTTGAAGCAATCATCGTGTCCGCGTCAAAGTAAATACATTTTTGATATAATAACAATAGGCACCTAGTAGACGTAACAGTAGTAGGTAATAATATAAAATAAAATATAAAATAATAAAGTAGCTTAAAGAAAAAGAAAAATTATTTAACAAGAAATGTGGAATCTTCATTGATGATAATATACATTGACTCGTAATTTATTTAATACATTTGAAATTCGGGAGTTTGAAAATCTATAGGTGTAGAATATTGTAGAAGTTTAAAGCTTAAAGGATAATAAAGCGGAGAGTCTAAAAACCAGACCACTTGGACAAGTTTTGACTAACACCTGTCTATGGTCAATTGAAGAGTCTAGGATAGGAATATTTGTGACTGAAGTGAAATCATAAGGGGGATATGGAATGCCTAAAATAAAACTTGCTATCCATTTACAGTATTTCTCAGGTCCCAAATTAGTGAGCCGTACCCTAAAGTAGGTCTCACTAAGGCACAGTACATCACTTTGTCCAATTGTTAAATTTAGAACCGGAGATATATGACATAACTATCTAATCGCAGAAGTATGGTGCAAATCGGATTATAGGAATTAATGTAAACTGATTATATTAATTTATAAATTCACTAAACATAGATGCTTAGCCCAACATAATTGTTATATTTTAAATGCCTAAATAACTATTTTTTTCATACACTAAAAGTGTCTGTGTATTTTAAATGCTTAAATTAATGATTGCATATTGATGAGTAATAGAGCTTCTTGTAATATTTTAAAATTTGTTTCTAGATTTTAAGTTGTGTTTGCGGTAGATGGATTATTTGTAATGAGAAGATTGATGCACAATCAATGATTTCTATTTGTGACCGATCTCTTTGTAACCATATACTGTGTAAGTATATCATAATATTATATAATCATAGTCAGATAAATTTTGTTTGTTTTTTATTGTACCTTTTCATTATGACTCTGTTGTATATATTAGGTATGGACAAATTAAGTGAAACGTGATGAATTATTTTTTAAACTAAAAGAAATAATATAATTTACTATACTAACTACATGAAATACTTGAAATGGCTATAATTTCTGTTTGTGTAAGTTCAGATACTTGTCAGCTACCCAAAGAAAATTTAACAAGAAAATCTATCTATATTTATAAAAAAAATACCAATTCAATATTCAAAGTCATACGACTTATAACAAACAATTATTAATCATTTTTTAATGAAACTATTTATGATTTAATATCAACGAGACACATAGACACTGCACAAATCACAGATTTAAAAAATATAACGATAGAGCCCATTGTATAACAATATTTTCAAAACTATTAAAAATAGCTTATTTGTCTTTTGTTTAAAATGAACGATTACTACCATTTTGATAAATTATAATGAATAATAATAATAATAATAATAGTAAAATTACCTATTGAAAATTATGAAAAAGCATAATTTCCTTTTATGTGCTGAACCTTTATTAATATTTATATTAAAATATACAAACAATTTTAAATTATGTTTTATTAGATGATCATGTGTCACATTAAATGTCACATTAAATGTCACACCAAATTTTGGTAAATGCTCCAGAAAAAATTTTAGACCATTTTATGAGATTAATAGATGCTTTTGAACATATAAGTGATGTAAATGACGTAGCAGAACGTCTGTCAAAGGAACATTCTGATGTTAAAACAAATTCTTTATTGAAACGATTTAAACGATATAAAGGTCTCGTATATGATGTAAGTAAATAGTTTAGTCAAGGTTCAACATTTGGAGAGCTTAGTAGTTTAATATGTCATCATAAATTTAAGTAATGGATCAGGGTACTTATAATGTACAACAATTTATAGATGATAAATAAATGAAAGTGACCATTTATTATTATAAATTGTTAAACTAATATTATCAGGTGTCATATTTGGATATCAGAATAAATATAATATACAACAATTGTTTCTTTATCACATGGGATTTACATATAAATAAAATACCTAAATCAAATGTTAAATACTTAACTTTATTATTTCCAATAAGTCTATACCACATACTTTTAGCATACAATATAGGATATTTTTGCTTAAAGTATATATTTATAATATGTCTATACAGTGAGTATCCGCTTTATGTGACCATTGGTTTATAGAATCAACCGTTTATTGGAATTAAAAATGAAAATCAAAAACTAAATATTATATTGATAAAAATATGCTTTATGGAATTAACTGGTTAATAGAATCAAAATGGCCTGAACCAATGTGATCACATTAAGTGGTACCCACTGTATTTTTAGTTTTTACAAATGATTTATTATTTGACTCGACTTATTTTAAACCAACATAAATGTACATAATATATATTTCTTACGTTTAGCATACAATATAGGATATTAATGCTTTAACTTTTAAGTATATATATTTAAAATATTATGTATATTTTGTAAGTAGTTTTTTATTTGACTCAACTTATTAACTAACCAACATATTTGATTATTTGAACATATATTATATTTCTTAATAATTTAGAACTAAATTACAATTCATCCAAATGGAAAAAAAGTACTTGATTTTTTTTGATTATATTTTCATTGGGAACACGGTGAGGATAACTCTCACCTTGTTATTATTTTTAGAACCATCGGTTTAAATATTCGATTTCTCTGGGTCTATTAATACAATTAATTGCCATGTTTCCAATTATAATATTGTAAATAAAAGAATTTTATTAATATTTCTTGATAATAATTATTAACCTGTGAACTCGTTAGTGTCCCATGAGGTATGTATGCGTTTATATGTTACTTCATACACATGTATATTGTTTAATAAATAATAATGAGCAAATTATGTCAGACCACTTAAGCCAAGATGAATGAAAGTATAACATGTATAATAATACTTAATAGAAGTTTTTATAAAAAAAAAAAAAATAACGAAAATAATACTTTATGTGTATTTACGTAGAAAATTCTTATGATATGGGTTTTAATTTTTTTAATCATTTAAATAATTCATTTAATTTTTACACTGAAATAATGTAGCATTATTTTTTGTGAGATGTTATAAAGTTAATAATTTTGTCTCGGATTCCTTTTCTATTTTTGTTGAGTGATCTATAACAACGAAAAAACGACACAATACAAACAATGTTGCATAGTGATACAAACGACAAGTTAAGTTTGCTTATTGTTGATAAAATAATATAAAAACTAACAACAGTCATAAATATTAAATAAAAAATATTGTCTTGAATTTTATTGAAAAATATTAAACTTGTTTGATTGTTCTATAGTTCCCCTATGATTGTACTGTATGTCTGTATTCAACATCTATGAATCATTGTACATAAAGTACCCTTCTCTATTACTTTAATTTACAATGACATATTAAACTACAAAGCCTTTCAAATGTTGAACCTTGACTTTAAGTTCTACCATTCAAGTTTTGCTTATTTATTATTATGTAACTTGTAATTTATTATTGTCTTTATTTATGGTTTAGGAAATAAAACATTTTAGAAATTTTGATTCTTCA